GCCTGTCCCCCCCGCCCCAGGCCGAGGGAGAGCTGCCGGCACCACGTGCAGCCAAACACTGTGGCGCTGCTCTGCGGGAGAGGAGGGAGCAGGGGAGGGGGAGGGACTCTGGCTGCTAGAGGCCCCAGTGGCTGCGAGCGGCTTTCAATCAGGCCCAGCCGTCCAATCAGCCGCGCCGCACTCTGCACGAGGGGAAGGGGGAAATCCTGGACATTTCTACTTTATTAGAAATCCCCCCGGATGGCCATTTAAAGCTGAAAAAGCCGGACATGTCCGGGGAAAGCCGGACGGATGGTAATCCTAGGTGAGGGGCCCGGCCCGGCTCGGCGTCCCCGCTCCCAGCCCCACCCTCGGCCGGATACTCCGGGGGGCTCCGCGCCCATGGGCCACTCAGAGCCAGGCTCTGCCCTGAGCCCTGGGCCCAGCAGGGGGGACACCCAGCAGGAGCCAGAGGTGGGAAGCTTTAGGGCAGGGCCGGCTCCATAGTTTTTGCCACCCCAAGCAGAAAAAAAACAAAAAAACCTGTGATCGGGAACTCTAACTGCGCCGCTTCAGGGACCCGCCACCGAATTGCCGCCGAAGAGCCAGATGTGCTGCCCCCTTCCAGGGGCCGCCCCAAGCAGCTGCTTGCCGGGCTGGTGCCTGGAGCCAGCCCAGTTTAGGGGGCCTTGGCTGCTGGGGGAGCTCGTTCTGCACCCTGGGCCCGGCCCCGGAGGAAGTTCTGTCCCCTGCCCAGACGAGCGTGACCCTGATTGTGGCCGGGACGGAGGCCGGGAGCCGTCACCTCGGGGTCACCCCAGAGCTGTGGGCTGTTGTCGGGTGTCTGCCTTGCAGCTGGGGCCGGCGGGAGGCACCCAGGCTAGCTCTGATGGAGCTGAAAATAGCAATGGAGCTGTGGCCGGGCAGGATTAGCCACTCACGTGTGCACCCGGCGCCCTGAGCGGCTTGTCCTCGAGCGGCTAGCCCATGCCATTGCAGCTAGCGTGGCCGTGCCCACACACCCCCAGGGCAGGCCGGACGCAGTGAATGAGGCGGGGGCCAGACACGGGCATATGAGGACCCAAGAACTAGGGAGCCACGGCTCGGTGTCTGTGGGGCTGGGAGCCCAGCTCGCAGGGCAGGATTCTGGGTCAGGGGGACTCTAGAATCTAGGAGAGAATCTCTGCCCGGGGGCCCCTGGATCTGCCCGTGGCTGGGGCCGGCCGGGGAGGCCGGGGCTGGGGGGGTGTCCGGGACTGACTCTCACAGCCTGTCTCCTGTGCACAGATCCCAGCTTACCCAGACCCTCCATCTCGCTGAGCCCCACTGGAGTCACCGCCCCAGGGGCAGACGTCACCATCCGGTGTCAGGGGCAGCGCTGGGACGTGAGGTTCTTCCTGCACAAGGCTGGAGACCTGAACCCGCAGCGACACATAGACCCTGCTGGGGACGGGGCCGAGTTCCGCATCCCCACCGTGGGCCGGCAGCACAGAGGGAACTACAGCTGCAGCTACCGGCCCCGATCAGAGCCCTTCGTTTCCTCGCAGCCCAGCGACCCCGTGCAGCTGGTGGTAGCAGGTGAGGGGCCCGGCCCGGCTCGGCGTCCCCGCTCCAAGCCCCACCCTCAGCCGGATACTCCTGGGAGCTCCGTGCCGATGGGCCACTCAGAGCCAGGCTCTTCCCTGAGCCCTGGGACCCTGCAGAGGGGACACCCAGCAGGAGCCAGAGGTGGGAAGCTTTAGGGCAGGGCCGGCTCCATAGTTTTTGCCACCCCAAGCAGAAAAAAAAACAAAAAAACCCGTGATCGGGAACTCTAACTGCGCCGCTTCAGGGACCCGCCACCGAATTGCCGCCGAAGAGCCAGATGTGCTGCCCCCTTCCAGGGGCCGCCCCAAGCAGCTGCTTGCCGGGCCGGTGCCTGGAGCCAGCCCAGTTTAGGGGGCCCTTGGCTGCTGGGGGAGCTTGTTCTGCAGCCTGGGCCCGGCCCCGGAGGAAGTTCTGTCCCCTGCCCAGACGAGCCTGAACCTGATTGTGGCCGGGCCGGAGGCAGGGAGGTGTCACCCCGGGGTCACTCCAGAGCTGTGGGCTGTTGTCGGGTGTCTGCCCTGCAGCTGGGGGCCGGCAGGAGGCACCCGGGCTAGCTCTGATGGAGCTGAAAATAGCAATGGAGCCGTGGCCAGGCAGGATTAGCCACTCACGTGTGCACCCGGCGCCCTGAGCGGCTTGTCCTCGAGCGGCTGGCCCATGCCGCTGCAGCTAGCGTGGCCGTGCCCACGTGCCCCCAGGGCAGGCCAGACGCAGTGAATGAGGCGGGGGCCACACACGGGCATATGAGGACCCAAGAACTAGGGAGCTGCGGCTCGGTGTCTGTGGGGCTGGGAGCCCAGCTCGCAGGGCCGGGATTCTGGGTCAGGGGGACTCTAGAATCTAGGAGTGAATCTCTGCCCGGGGGGCTCTGTATCTGCCTGTGGCTGGGGCCGGCCGGGGCTGGGTGGGTGCCCGGGTCTGGCTCTCACAGCCTGTCTCCTGTGTGCAGATCGCAGCTTACCCAGACCCTCCATCTCTCTGAGCCCCACTGGGGTCATCGCCTCAGGGGCAAATGTCACCATCCGGTGTCAGGGGCAGCGCTGGGACGTGAGGTTCTTCCTGCACAAGGCTGGAGACCTGAACCCGCAGCGACACATGGACCCTGCTGGGGATGGGGCCAAGTTCCGCATCCCCACCGTGGGCCGGCAGCACAGAGGGAACTACAGCTGCAGCTACCGGCCCCGATCAGAGCCCTTCGTCTCCTCAGAGCCCAGCGACCCCGTGCAGCTGGTGGTAGCAGGTGAGGGGCCCAGCTCGACGTCCCCGCTCCCAGCCCCACACCGAGCTGGACCCTCGGAGGGGGCCTCCGCACTGATGGGACGCTCGGAGCCAAGCTCTGCCCTGAGCCCAGAGTTGGGGACATCTTGCTGGGGAGCAGCCACTGGAGATTCAGGGCTGTGGGATGGGGGATCCCTGCCCCCGGGGGGAGCTGCAGAGCACGGGGCGTGTCCCAGGGGGATGCTCCCCCAGGCTGCCCATGCTCTGGGGATGCACAGAGGAGTCGGGGCCCAGGGGCTGCCCAGCCCCAGCCACAAAAAAAAAATGACCCTGATGATCGATGCTGCGTTGCGGGGTGGGGATGGGACGACCACTGAGTCGCTGTTTCAGCCCCACCCCGGCCCTGTTGGACGCTGGTTCTATTCCTGCAGAAAGAGACTTCATGACTTGGCCCATCATCGTCGGGGTGAGCGCGGCAGCCGCCCTCCTCCTCCTCCTCCTTGTGGCCTTCGTCTGCTTCAGAAAAACCCGAGCCAGTGAGTGCCCCGCCCAGCGAGGGAAGGGTTAAATCTGCCACTAAGCATGGCGGGATGGGGTCACGGATTGGAGGGGGACTGTGCCAGGAAAGCCAAGGAGCGGGGGCGCTCAGCAGAGGGCGCTGTTGCATGTGTAATCCCTGTACACACAGCTGTCCCACCCCAGAGGTGGCCGCATCTCAGTGCCGGGCGACGGGTCCCTGTATAACGAGCCGCCGGCACCGTGCTTCTCAGGTACCTGGGATGACAGAGGAGCCACTGGCCTGTGGATCAGATTTGTTATGAATCACTAACGAGGGAGGATTGGGGACAGGAAAAGCCCCTGAGTTAATCTGCCCCTCCCCCGGGTACATGCTATGGTGTTGTGCTGCCCCCTGCTGATCCGGCCCAGCCCAGCAGGGATCCAGGCTCAGCACCAGCAGCAGAGGGGACCCCCCCCAGGCACCCCCATCCCTGCTGCCCTCTGGGGGGTGAGTGGCCAGCGCTGGGACCGGGGATCCCGATCGGCTCATGGGGGATTCTGGTTTGTGTCCCTCTGCAGGAAAAGGAGCCGCACCGAGACCGAGCAGGTAGGAACCCAGCTCCTCCCCCCTCCCGATGGACCTGCCTGGGTCACAGGGCTCCTGGGTTCTGTCCCAGCTCGGGGATGGGGGTGTGACCAGAAGTGGTTAGAGCAGGGAGGTGTGTGGGGGCGTGACCAGAAGTCCTGGGTTCTATATCTGCCTCTGGGAGCAGAGTGGGGGCTAGTGGTTAGAGCGGGGTGGGGTGGGGTCTGGTGGTTGGGGCAGGAGGCTCAGGGAACTGGGTTCAGTGTGAGGCAGGATAATGGGCTCTCTGGGTGTGTTGAGGAATCTCCCCACGGGTGGGGGGATATGACATTTACAAGGGGATTTTCTCTTTTAGCACCAGCCCTATGGGGGCATTAAAGGCGCCAGCTCAGCAAGACCCCACCTGTGAGTAACACACCCAAGGGGGTACCAGGGTGGGGCAGGACCCCTGGGGAGGGGAGGGGCTTGTGGGGGCTCCACCCATATGGGGGGGGGCCTGATTTACAGCTGCTGCCGGGCGGGACTAAGGAGAGGGTCCCAGAGGTAGCTGGTGTCAGCTGAGAGTGTTGGACTCCCAGGGAGCTCCCTGGGGGCCACCCTCCCTTCCCGTTCTAGTTCCCCATCCACTCCTGGCTCCCAGCCCCCTGCTCTAACCACTAGTCTAGACCCCACTCTCCTCCTGAGCCAGGGTGAGAACACAGGTGTTCGGACTCCCAGCCCCCCCCCCCGGTCGTAACTCCCTAGACATCTTTGTGCCTCAGTTTACCTCTCTGTAACACGGGGCTAATGACCCTGGCCCATGCTGTGGGGCGGGGGAGGGTGGCTGTGTCAGGCTCTGACCCCCCTGGCTGAACGGGGGGTCTGAGCTGGGTGTGGGGTTCTGCTCTGGGCCGGCCAGGGGTGTAGCTCAGCGGGTGTCGTCTGTTCTGCAGACGACCTCCATCGATGAA